GACAATTATTAGAGAAAACATAAATTAAAGATTGATGTCCACGCTTAAGCACATAAAAACTGTCTTCATGCCGTCTAGTTGCCACCACATTTCTTTTGACTTGATTCTGTATAATAAAGCGATCATTTGTAAAGGTGATAAAAAAGGGAAATCAAAGGTAAGTTTACTGATGGAAATTAGATTTTTGGTTAAACCAGACACAACTAAGACATCCTTTAAAGTAAAGGAAGAGGTTGGAGAGAGGGTATCAGTGTGAGAAATGGGAAGAGAGGCACCATTACCGACAATGACATGATCCTTACCAGTGTACATATCATACTTGTCTAATTGAGTAGCATCATTAGTCATGTGCGTAGTGGCTCCAGTGTCCGTATACTAATCAGAAGCCTGATTGTCACTGAGTGTGCATGAGGTAAAAGCCTCCACAAGGTTGGCAGCATTTGAGGAATGGGAGTAGTGGTCACGACAAGAAGTGGTGTAATTCCCTTCCCTATGAAAAATCTGACAATGAATAGGATGGTTGCGTTGATGATGACCACCACCACTGCTACGACCCCCACGAGAATCACGGCCACCCCCACAAGCAGAGGCAGGTTTGTTACTGTGAGAGGTAGTGAAGGCGACAGAAATGGATCCCGTGGAAGGCAACTCTAATGATTTAACAAAATTTTCATAACTCTCTGGCATGGGAATAATCTCAGTAAAAGAAGGGAGAGATGAAAGAGATAATTGTGTAGTAGAAAAGGTGGAGAAAGCAGAGCCAAGTCCATGTAAATACCAGTGTATTTTGTCGAGGTCATCTATGGAGCAGCCCATGGCAACAAGTTGGTCAAAAATGGATTTGAACTCATGGGAATATTCAACAACAGACCGAGCATCTTTCTTCATGTGCTGCAATTCATCTTTTAAACGCAGCTCCCGAGATTTGGAATGATGACTGAAGGTGGTCTCCAGAGTGGACCAAATTGCATACGAAGAGGTCAGGCCAACAACAATAGACAGGGCTTCTTCCGTCAACGAAGCAAGGAGGAGGCTTAGTGCAAGTTGATCGGTTTGTTGCCCTTAAGCAAATGCTGGATTGACAGTGGAAAAGGCACCAGAACTGATAGTTGCAGAAAGAGGTTTGATGGAGATATCAATGTATCCAATGAGATGTTGACATTGCAGCAATGACAAAACTTGACTATGCTAGAGGAGAAAATTGGAAGAAGATAACTTAATGGTCAAGAGGTGGACCATGGTGTTGAAAGACAAGGTAGGGGACAGAGTTTCAGAGGCCATTTGGATCGACGGAGGTGAATCCTTAGAGGACCATTGACAAGGTAGGGGACAGAGTTTCAGAGGCCATTTGGATCGACGGAGGTGAATCCTTAGAGGACCATTGATATCATGACAAGGTTTGAAAAACCACCGTGAAGTTGTCTGGTGGTGCACGTCTCATTTATAAAATATACAGAGCAATATTACAGCAAGATGATTTACGTACAAAGTCAGCATTTCCATCTATAGCTATTGTCTATGATCAAAGGATTGCCTAGAATCATGGGATTAGGTTTTGATAAGAGATACAACATGATTTGAGGAGGATCTTTTAGATCCTTCTATATCTGTAATATCTCCCAACTCACCAGGAATTGGACCATCTAAACCACAGCTTGCTAGATTCATGTAAACCAAATTCACCCATTTGCCTAACTCCTTTGGTATCCCACCCTAAAAAATATTGTTGAAATCCTAATGAATCTCTATCAAGTTTGTAAGATTCCCCAACTCAACAGGAATTCTACTAGTGAGCTCATTGAAAGACAAATCAAGGAATGGAAGCTTCTTATTTTGGCCAAGGTTATCAGGAATCATACTAGTAAAGTTGTTATTCCACAGCCACAATTTCTCCAAATTAGGCCAGTCAGCTACATGGTCAGGAATTGAACCACGCAACATGTTTCTGAACAATAGCAAAAGCTTGAGCTTCTTGAGATTGATGAATGAATAAGGGATCTCTCCGGTGAGTAAATTGTCAGAGAGATCAAGACTCAGCAAGTTTGTCAAGTTCCCTAGCTGTTTTAGAATCAAGCCCGAAAGAAGATTCTTAAACAAGAAAAAAGTATCAAGCAACTTCAAGTTCCCAAGCTCATGAGGAATTGGACCATCTAAACCACAGCTTGCGAGATCCATGTAAACCAAGTTCACCAATTTTCCAAACTCCTTTGGTATCCCACCTTTAAAAACATTGCAATAACCCAAATAAATCTTTCTCAAGTTTGTTAGATTCCCCAACTCACCAAGAATTTTCCCCCAAAGATCATTCGTTGCAAGTGAAAGATACTCTAGCCCCACTAATTTTCCATAATTTTTTGGGATTTTTCCATAGAAATAGTTGCCACCAAAATGCAAGTACTTGAGTTTCTCCAAGGTGAGAACACCGAGAGGAAGTAAAGCAGTGAAGTTGTTATCATAAGCATAAAAAACTTGCAAGTTCGAAGACTTGAGTAATTCCAATCCAGGCCACCAGTAAACTGATTGTGTGAGATTTTAAGAGATTGAAGACTACTCAAGTTAGCAATCTCAATGCCGCCCCTGAAGCTATTTCCTGCAAGAGAGATTAGTGAGCATATCAAGCCTTGAAACTTGAGCTGAAGCTGAACCACTAAGGTCCAAATCCGTCAAGTCCAATGAAACAACTCTATCTTGGGAGCAAAGAACTCTAGCCCAAGAACAAACTGAGCTTGGATTTGATGAATTCCAGGAGGTTAAAGCTGGTTTAAGGGATAGAAATCCTTGTTTAAGAGAAACTAGGACATGAAAATCATTGAGCAGAGAAAAGGCAGAAACATAGACGGAAGAAGAGATGGCACTAGTGAAGAGAGAGAAGAGTGACAAAAGAATGCAAAATACCATGTTTTGATGGGAAATTTTGTAAAAGACAGTTGAATTTGGAAGGACTTGATGCAATAACAAAGGGATTTAAACACTTGGGTGAGTAAACATTTTCTAGCAAATGAAGTTACAGTCAAAAGTGATTAAACCATGGTATGAAAGGAAGGATAGTGTTCATAGACATTATTAACAGAATGAAAACGAAAGAGAACTTTAATTTCCATAATGTTAGGTAACTCCTAACTTTGTATCTTTATTTTATTTTTTTCATCTCTACTAATCCACAAGACTTAGAACGTTAGATAAAATTCGAATAGCTATCCCTATTAATACTCAATGATGGACTTAAACTTAAGACCTTTTAAGTAATAAATCAAAGAGTACAATTGGGAGTAAGTAGGTCTTCAAGACCAAACTTGCTGTTGATGGCTCGATTGAGAGGTTAAAAGCACGATTATTCGCAAAAGGATTTTTAAAAGGGGAGGGTATAGATTATTTGGAGACGTTTAATCTGGTTGTTAAAACTGCTACCATTTAGATCGTCCTCTCCCTGGCTATGGTTAACAGGCAGGAAATTCATCAACTAGATGTTTGAAATGCCTTCTTACATGGTACACTTGATGCTCCAGTCTTTCTTGCTCAACCACTTGGGTTTGAGGATCTAACTTGGGTTTGAGGATCTATGTCTTCATGATATGTTTGTCAATTGCATAAGGCCTTATACAGCCTCAAGCAAGCCCCAAGGGCGTGGTATGACAAGTTTAATGAATTTTTACTTGATTTTGGGTTTACTTGTAGTATTGCTAATCCGTCATTGTTTGTTTTTTGGCAAGCAAGTGTTACTCTGATTTTCTTATTGTATGTTGACAATATCATTCTGACGGGAAACTCCTCCTTCTTACTTTCTAATATGTTACATAGGCTTCAAGCTATTTTTCATATGAAGGATCTCAACAATCTTCATTACTTTCCAAGGATCGAAGTTCTTCCTTGCTTAGATGTTCTTTTATTGAGTCAAAGAAAATATGCCTCTGAATTTCTTGAATGCGCTGGTATGATAGATTGCCAACCATTCAAAATGCCAATGACTCTATAGAAGTCATCATCTAACGATTCTACTCTATTTCACAATCCAACTTTGTTTTGGAGTTTGGTTGGGGCTCTGTAATACTTAACGATGACTTGTCCTGATTTAAGTTTTGCTGTCAACTCCGTCTGCCAACATATGCACTCTCTGACAAATGGGCATTTTGCTGAACTAAAAAGGATCTTGAGATATGTTCAAGGAACCTGCCATTTATGTCTCATGATCCGTGCTCAAAGCTTCCTATCTCTCTATGGCTTTAGTGATGCTAACTGGGCAGGTTGTTCCCTCACTTGCCGATCTACCACATGATTTTGTATGTTTCTCGAGTCCAACTAATCTATTGGTTAGCCAAGAAATAGCCCATTGTATCCCGATCATCCATGGAGGCTAAATACAGAACCTTAGCTTTAGCCTCTGCTGCTACTGAACTCACGTGGATTGCCTTTGTTTTGAAGGATCTTAGATTGTCTCAACCTAAACTGATGGTTTTGTATTGTGATAATATATCAGCTCTTTCCATGACTACAAATCCGATGTTTCATTCTCGGTCTAAACATATTGCCATTGATTATCACTTTTATAGAGGTTCAAAGACCCGTGTATAGTGTGGCTGAAATCCTCAAAGAATATTGAGGCTATCGGTTTCATTATATAGAATGTATTTACAATAGGAAAGTCCTATATAAAAGGAAACATATTAACAGAATATATGCAGTGGAGATTATCCTATAAACTAGGTAAGATTGTTATGGAAAAGTAGAAATTGAGGCTTGGTGACTCCCTTGGTAAATGAATTAGCAAGCTGAAGATATGAGGGAGCAAAGGCGACTTTTAGAGAACCATTGGCAATTAATTCACGAACAAAATGGTAGTCAACTGCAATATGTTTAGAGTGAGGTCGAGTGACAGGATTGATTGCTGTAAAAATATCACTCTTGTTGTCGCGTAATATTTTTGTAGGAGAAGGCATTTGAAGATGGAGATCACGAAGTAGTTGAACAATCCAAGCAACTTCAGAGGTAGCAACAGCTAAGGA